CGGGCGATGCCGCGGTCCCCCCGTGGGTGCGCGGATCTGCTGCGCGGGGGGGCGGCTCCCGGCGGCCCCCCCCCCCGTGCGGCCTCGCAGGAGGCCTGACGCAGGCTCCCGAGCGTGTGTCGGGGCGGCAGGGAGGGGATGGGGATGGGGAGGAGGACAGACGACGGCAAACGAGGACAACGGACAACGGGCGGAAACGGACGACGGACGACGGACGACGGACGAACGGACGACGGACGACGGACGACGGCGACGGCGACGGCGACGGCGACGGCGACGGCGACGGTGGCGACGACGACGACGACCACAACGACGACGACAACGACGACGACGTCGACGACGACGACGACGACGACGACGACGACCACAACGACGACGACGACGACGACGACGACGACGACGACGACGACGACGACGACGACGACGACGACGACGACGACGACGACGACGACGACGGCGGCGGCGGCGGCGGCGGCGGCGGCGGCGGCGGCGGCGGCGGCGGAGGCGGACAGCGGCGGCGGCACGGCAACGACGACAACGGATAATGGACGACGGACGACGAGTGGTACGAAGAGATGGGGAGAGGAGGGTTGGGAGGGCGAGTGAGGGGGAGGAGGAATAGAAGGAGAAGGGAAGCCAGAGGGAGAGGAGGAGGAACAGATGATAACTAAAGAAACACCAAGAAGAATAATAGCAATAGCAGCGTTAGCCAGCGTGGACCCAAACAGAGTCTCTAGCAATAGATGTCATGCCGCATACGTGGAGCAGACGATGTAGTGCCACATGTGTTGTGCAACCTATGCTGTGCAGTCTATGTGGTACAGTGTGTGCGTATATATATATATATATATATATATATATATGTGAAGTGCTATGTGATGCCATATACATAGATGCAGGGAGATGTATGTAATGCGGTATATGGTATTCAACATATGTGGAGCCATCTAGGTGGTACAATATATGTGGCGCAATACGTGTTGTGCATTGTGTAACCCATGTTGCCCAATCGATGTGGTGCAACTTACGTGGTGCGATATATCTTGTGCAGCCTACGTGGTGCAATAGATGTTGCGCAATATGTTGCGAAATATATGTTGTGCACCCTATGCGGTGCAATATATATGTTGTGCAACCTGTGTGGTGCAATCTATGTTGTGCATTAGATGTGGGGCAGTATGTGGTGCAAGATGTGGTGCAATCGATGTGGGGCAATTTATGTGGTGCAACCTATGTGGCGGCGACAGGGCGGCGACGGCGACAACGTAGCCGCAAGACCGACAGACCGATCCAGACGACGGACGGCGACGAGGCGCCGACAGGGCGGCGACGGCGGCCACATAGCCGCCAGACCGGCCGTCAGGCCCAGACGACGGGCGGCGACGAGGCGGCGACGGCGGCCAAGCCACCGGACTGGGCGTCAGGCCCAGTTCCTGAGGAGAAATAAGAAACCCTAAGTGCAAGCACTGTTTGGGGAGTAAGAAAAAGAAGAAGAGTACACCAAAGAAAAACCCCAATCAATCGATCGTTTTCGCTGAGGAGATCGACCGGGAACCCGGGAGCCCAGGAACCCAGGAGCCACCGAAACCAGCCCAGAACCAATAGCCGGGAACCCGGGAACCTGTGACCGGGAGCCCGGGAACTCCCGCCTGCTACCAAAAACTCGGCGGGAGACTTTCGCCTAATCTTTCAGCTTCCACTAGGACCCCTTCAGTGCAAGCACTGATTGGGGTTAGGTCGGGCCTGTCCCCCTACAGGGGGATTGTGGACGAAAAACAAAAAATGCTCAGAAAATGCTCAAAAGATGCCCAAAAATACTCGAAAAATAGTTCCTGACTATTTCTAGACTATTTTTGAATGTTCCCCCTGTGGAGGGACAGGCCCGACTTGAGATTGGGGAACGAACAAGAAGAAGAAGAAGAAGAAGAAGAAGAAGATGAAGAAGAAGAATAAGAAGAAGAAGAAGACGAGCTGAAGAAGACGAGCTCAGGCTCGAGCTCGGAGCCGCCGAATGCGGTCTCTTGCGAATTCTCCTGCCTCCGCGGCCCGCGCCCCCAAAAAACCGCGGGATCCAGGGGCGAGGCCTTGCGCAGTCCTCTGCGGCAGGCTCTGGGCCCCAGCCTTCGCAGCCCGCTGGGTATGAAGGGGCCCTGGGACACACAAATAAATGCACACAACCAAAAGGATTCCCCATATTCTCCCATATTTTCTGGGTTTCTGTCTTCCCCCCCACTTCCCATATGTTCCCATATTTTCTGGGGAATCGACGATCAATTGTGTCTGTGTGGTTCTTTCCCTCCTGAGGGTACCAGCCCTTGCCAAGGTCTCGAGCGTGCTGCTGAGACGGGAGGAGGGCGACGGCGACGAGAGGACGAGGCGAGGCACGAACACAGCGGCACCGGCGCAAGCCTCGGGCCCCAGTCGCGCGCGCCGCAGGCGCTCGGACCTCCTCCATTCGCCAGCATTGGGCGTTTACTTGAGAGAGGATCGGCTGGCCTGCCTAATTAGCGGGCGCGCCGCGCCCCCGTGGGCGACGCGGGGACGCCGAGGCGGTTCGCGTCCGCCGCGGGGGCGTTGGCGGCGTAGATGCTGAGCACCCGCATGCTCTCGAGGAACCTGTTCGAAGAAGAGAGATCGGCACGAGCATAAACTTTCGGAGGTCCGACAGCCTATGTTAAGACGCCGATTCGTCTTCGTCGAAACCTGTCGCGGCTCTCCCGGGACTCCTCCAGCATGCAGAAGCTGAAGGCCCTCTCCTGGCTGCCGCCGTGCACGAGCATCAGTAGGAGCTCCCTCTCGTTGGGACCCACGCTCTTCACCACCTGCGGGGGGAAGCACTCCTGGCCGTCCTCCAGCAGATAGATGTCCTGGATGTCCTTGATCGGGCACTCCCCGATCAACCTGCGGTCGTCCCTTGCCAGGAGCGTCAGGTGCCTGAGGCTCCTGTCGATGCGGTACAGCGCCTCCGTGCGCACACCCCTTGCGGCGCGCGCGCTCGCAAACTGCCCCCGCGAACGCCCGTCACCCGGGGCCGCAGGCCCCCTCCCTCCCTCCCCGCCCCCCGATGACGTCACGCTCCGCGCCGGCGCCGTCTGGAAACGGCTGCAGGCAGTCAGCTCCCAGAGGGCGCTGGCGCAGATCGTGACACTGCTAGCCCCCTTCTTTTCCCCCCCAGTGCCCAGACCCCAGACCTCCTGCGTTGTGGCTTGTTCACAGCGTGGCCCCCCAGAGGTCTACACACCGCGTTCCCCCACGACAACGGGAGGCTTGCCCAGAGATCCGATATATTGTTTTTGAAGTAATTAAGGTTCCCAGAAATCCTGACCCTGTCCCCAGGGCCAGTCTTCCATCCTCAGTCGTTTGTTCACGGTCCTTGGGCACAGCGAGGGCCCCCCGAGGCCAGAAACCACGGAAAACTCCCCATTGCATCTTCCAATACGCGTTAGAGGTCCGGGGATGTCTGGGCGTGGGAGGGCCCACAGCAGGAGGGCTCCTGTCGTCCACGTGCACGGCGGGGCACCCCCGGACGGCGCCCCTGGCGAAGGAGTCCAGCAGGGACTGCAGGCGCGCCTGCTCCGCGGCGTCATCCTCCGGGCGGCGCCGCCGCTTCCCACGGCCGGGCTCCCCGCCGCCCCCGAGGGACAGACTCTCGCCGGAACCTTAAGGGGCAACGATCGGGGGGGACGAGCTCCGGGGGTAAACTTAGGTCGGGCCTGTCCCCCTACAGGGGGATTTTGGGCAAAAAAATAAGACGAGTAGTAAAAAGTATGCTAATAATACTGATAAGAATACGGATACTAAGAAGAAGAAGAAGAAGAAGAAGAACCCCGAAATTATCAAAAAAAAAAAAATACAAAAAAATGTCTCTCTCTCACACACAACAACAACAACAACAACAACAACAACAACAACAATCATTTTACCCGAACGCTCAGTGTTCTCACCAGTGCCAGGGTTTTCATGCGACGCGAGACAATACCCCCACTTCGTGGGGGGGCAGTTCAAGCTCTAACAAATATCCAAACGACTCTTCGCGACCACCCAAACCCAGCTTCCCGCCCTATGACGTTGGGACACTTCACTTCGTGGCGTGCGGACGACCGTGGCTACTACACTGGCGTGGGGTACACACCCACAGAACTTGGTCACTTATTCGGGGCGCGCGTGTGCCAGCATCCTGCAATTGTGACATACAATACATGACACAGACAGACAGAGAGAGAGACAGAGAGCAGACAGAGAGAGAGACAGAGAGAGCGGAGTTGGTCACATTTTTGGGGCAAGCCCACCAGCCCACCAGCCCTCTGGGCGTAGGTGGTCTAGAGCAGATCCTCTTCCACCCCTCCCTCTTCCCCCTGGGGGAGGGGTTTACCCCTCCCCCTACCCCCTCCCCTGGACCTGGACGGGGGGGGCCGCGGGTAGTTAGAGCGTCCAAGATGGCCCAAGACGGCTCCAAGAGCGCCTCAGAGAACCCAAGATGAGCTCCAAGATGGCTCAAGATAGCGCAAGATCGCGCACGATGGCTCCTAAGATGGTTCCAAGAAGCCCAAAGACGGCCCCAAGATAACTCCAAGTGGCCAAACAGCTCCCCAAGGAGGCCCCGAAGAGGCCAAAATCGTTCCAAAACCTAAGGAAAATCAATGATTTTTGCTTTCTCGCCTTTTCGCTTCCGATGGCCATCCGAGGCCTGGAGATGGCTCCAAGATGGCCCAAGAGGGCCCCAAGAGAGCCCCAAAAGAGCCCAAGACGGCCCCAAGAGCGCCCAAGAGCACTCCAAGAGCGTTCCAAGAGGGGTCCAAGAGGCGATTTTAGGGGCTTCCGAGGGGGGGCGCTAATTAAACCCCCCCTCTTGTGTGATCGACTCCCTCCAAGATGGCCCCAAAAGCGCCCCGAAGGCTCCCCAGAGCGCCTCAAGAGGGTCCCAAGAGGCGCCCAAGATGCCCCAAGGCGCCCAAAAAGCCCTCCAAGAGGCCCTCAAAAGACCCCCAAGAAGCTCCTTCCCCTCCTCCTCCTCCTCCTCCGATTCTTCCTCCTTCTCCGTCCTCCTCCTCCTCCTCCTCCTCCTCCTCTTCCCCCTCCTCCTCCTCCTCCTCCTCCGACGACGACGACGACGACGACGACTCCTCTTCCATCCTCCCCCTCTCGGGGTCTGTGACAGCTTCCCCCGCCCTTTGTTATTCTGCATGCTCCCCGACTTCCCTGATCACCTCAACTCCCCTGAGCATCGTTTCTGGATGGGCTGGTGGGGATACGCGAAGCGTCAAGTTCCTAAGATCGTCGTGTTTTTGTTGGTCTTGCGCGCGCGAATGTCCACTTTACTTTTTTTTGCAAGGCGAGAACAAGAAAAAGTAGCTCGCGCGAGCTCATGTAACAGAAATGTTGAAAAACCATTGGTTTTGTGGGAGTCGGACAGCGCGCGCGGGATGAAATTTGGACATTTTTTTTTGAAAAAACCATTGGGTTTTTGATGTTTTTATGTTGAAATCGTTACGAAACCTAAGGTTCTGGAAGGATTTCGTCTTGCGCGCGCGAATGTCCACTTTACCTTATTTTCTGCAAGGGATTATTGAAATTTGATTATGTTAGAACAAGAAAAAGTAGCTCGCGCGAGCTCATGTAACATAAATGTTGAAAAACCATTGGTTTTGTGGGATTCGGACAGCGCGCGCGGAAGGACATTTTGACAATTTTTTCTTAAAAAACCATTGGGTTTTTGACGTTTTTATGTTAAAATCGTTACGAAACCTAAGGTTTTGGAAGGATTTCGTCTTGCGCGCACGAATGTCCACTTTACCTTATTTTTTGCAAGGGATTCTTGCAATTTGATCAAGTAAGAACAAGAATTTGCATTTTCTATTGTTTTTTGCAAGGGAAAGCGGATTACAACAAAACAACCGGATCCGGACACAATCCACTTTTCTGAAGCTTTCGCGAAAAAATGATGAAAATGTAGCTGCGGCCTAGGCGCGGCGCAGAGGTCGCGCACCAGGGGCCCCAACAATAATTATTCTTAAGAAGAAATAATGTTCAACAACAACAACAACAACAACAACAACAACAACAACAACAACAACAACAACAACAACAACAACAAAACAACAACAAAAAATAAAAACAAAACTACCCAAAACTATTTCTACTATTTTTGGACATTCCTCGTGTAAAAGGACAGGCCCGACTTAAGGGTAAACATCGAACGGGAATCGGCGACGCATCGCCGAAACGTCGACTAAGGGCCTCCGATCCTCCGATAGCGAAACCACACGGTCGTGGGCAGGGTGGGCTATCGGGCCCGCAGGGGTCGATGCGTTCCCCGGGAGGCATTATCCCCCACCAGCGTTGCCCCTGAGAGCCGCTGGCGTCGTGGCAGAAGCCCTCGCCGGTGATGGGCCAGCGGCGCGCGCCAGGGACTGGGGCGAACCCTGACCTCCGCTCGTCGCAGGGAAATCACGGCGGGAAGCCATTTTCCCCACTAGGGTTGCGGTGTTCTCTCCCACCTGCGTCGCACCTGCGTCTCCTCTTCTCTCCTCTCCTCTTCCTCCTTCTCGCTCTGACCCGCAAAGACAGCAAACGCCACACCAGACAAACGTCCGAATATACACACAACACACACACACTGGCAAACAGACAGACACAGATACACAAACAAACAAACGACCAAACAAACAAACACTCAAACTTAGTTTGCGTCGCAACCCTGCGCGCGGCGACAAGCAAACACACACACACACACACATCTTTTAAGTCGGCGGCGCAGAGGGTCCTCAGGCGCGAACAGCAAATGGAAGTGTTAATTGCAATCGAACATTGTCGAAGGCACAGTGTACAAACCGTTGTATACTGTCAAGTGCAGCAATTTGTGGTGTGAAAGAGGAGCTGCAAATCCATGCGAAACGTGCAGCGGCCCGAAAACCGGATGCAATTCAACTCGAAGCAAACTGAAGCGTGAGCAGTCTGGTGCGAATTGGCGGCCACTGAATCACCAAGGAGCGATGTTAGACCATGGAGCGCAAGAAAGAACTGTAACGGCTGGCAGACCAGCCGATGCGTGGAAAGAAACGCTGACCCAACACGGCAACTAACAGAAACACACACACGGCTTGTTGTCTGGCCAGCTGGCCCAGAACAGCGGAAAATCTGCGAGACTGAGAATAAGAATCATCACAAAACGTTGTTGCTGGAGGGCTCTGTATACCTAATGCAACAGGATGCAGCATGCACGCGACTCGCCGCGCCGCCAAACACGCGCGCGCGCGCCGGGCTCGCGCGTGCCAAGCAGGCCGGCCCCTCACGGGGCGGCGGTGCGGCAGAGAGAACTGGACTTAGGTCGGGCATGTCCCCCTACAGGCAGATCTTGGACGAAAAATGAGAAACGGTCCAAAAATCATGTGACGCAATATGTTTTACAACAAAAACTGCCCCAAAATACCCCCCGAAAAAAACAAAAATAAAAAACATTCCCCTGTCCATGCTTGGACTATTTTTGAATATTCCCCCTGTAGAGGGACGGGCCCGCCTCGAAGCTGGGCCGGCGGAGCGCCGAGGCGGCAGGGCATGGGGGGCCCGCACGACCGCGGAGCCGGAGCCGGCCAGGGTCGGGACGGCCAGGGTCCGGCAAGACGAGGGGAAGAAACACACTGTGTGTTTTTGTGTGTTTTTTTGTGTTGTTTTGTATGTTGTTTGTTTGTTTGTTCCTACTGTGTGTTTTTGTGTGTGTGTGTTTCCCACTGTGTGTTTTTGTGTGTGTGTGTGTTTTGTATGTGTTTTGTTTGTTGTTTCCCACTGTGTGTTTTTGTGTGTGTTTGTGTGTTTTTATGCGTTTTTGGTTGACGAACGAACAACACACACCCATACCCATATGCGGCACGTTGGGAGGAAGACTGGCTATGGGTATGGGTGCGGGCTGTCGGATCCTGGGGCGCGCTTCCTTTCGAGCGGGGACCCCCATCCGACCACATGCACCCATAGCCCCCTCCGTCCCACCAGTGGGTATGGGTGCGTGTTGTTCGTTCGTCAACAAAGGGAAGAGAGGGCCGAGCAGAGCGAGGGAGAAGCGAGGAGCGAGGAGCGACAGCAGACGGCCGAGGGGGGGAGACGGACGAGAGTAGATCTTGACCGTGAAGTTCGACACTGCGCTATGACACTGCGCTAAGTTCACGCTAACCGTAGCGTAGTGTCACGCCCATGTGTCCCCGACGCTACGCTATGACACGCCAGCCGTAGCGTAGTGTCACAGCGTAGTGTCACGCCCAGGTGCCCCCAACACTACGCTATGACACTACGCTAACCGCAGCGCAAGATCCTTTGTCACGGAGCAAAATCCAGCGAGGTAAAACCCTAAGGAAAAGCAAAGCCAAACAACAACAAACAAACTCTTCCTGTTCCCTCCGCCTCAACCGTAGCGTAGTGTCATAGCGTAGTGTCACGCCCAGGTGCCCCCAACACTACGCTATGGCACTACGCTAACGGTAGCACAGTGTCCTCTCTCACGAAGCAGAGTCAAGCAAAACCCTAAGGAAAACCAAACGAAAAAAAAAAACTATTCCTTTTCCCCCCACCTCAACCGTAGCGTAGTGTCATAGCGTAGTGTCACGCCCAGGTGCCCCCAACACTACGCTAGGACACTACGCTACCGGTAGCGTTGTTGCCTCTCTCACGGAGCAGGGTCAAGCAAAACCCTAAGGATAAGCAAAGAAAAACAAACTTGTTCTTCTCCCCCCGCTCAACCTTAGCGTAGTGTCATAGCGTAGTGTCACGCCCAGGTGCCCCCAACACTACTCTATGACACCACGCTAACGGGTAGCGCAGCGTCCTCTCTCACGGAGCAGAGTCCAGCAAAACCCCAACCGTAGCGTAGAGTCATTGCGTAGTGAGTGTCACGCCCAGGTGTCACCAACACTACGCTATAACACTACGCTAACGGTAGCGTTGTGTCCTCACTCACGGAGCCGAATCAAGCAAAATCCCAACGAGACGCAAACGAGAAAAAAAAACGAATCCTTCTCCACCGCCTCCACCGTAGCGTAGTGTCGCAGCGTAGTGTCACGCCCAGGTGCCCCCAACACTACGCTATGACACTACGTTAACAGTAGCGTAGTGTCCTCTCTCACGGAGCAGAGTCCAGCAAGACCCTAAGGACAAGCAAACGAACAAAAAAAAATCCTTCTCCCCCGCCTCAACCGTAGCGCAGTGTCATAGCGTGGTGTCACGCCGAGGTGCCCCCAACACTACGCTATGACACTACGCTAACCGGAGGGTACTGTCATAGCGTAGTGACACGCCCAGGTGTCCCCAACACTACGCTATGACACTACGCTAACCGTAGCGTACAGTCATAGCGTAGTGTCACGCCAAGGTGCCCCCAACACTACGCTATGACACTACGCTAACCGTAGCGTACTGTCACAGCGTAGTGTCACGCCCAAGTGTCGCCAACACTACGCTGTGACACTACGCTAACCGCAGCGTACTGTCATAGCGTAGTGTCACGCCCAGATGTCCCCAACACTACGCTACGACACGACGCTAACAGTAGCGTTGAGTCACACCCAGGTGTCTTCAACACTGCGCTATGACACTACACGAATTTTACTTTCTTCACGGTTGCGAGTTCAAATTCACGGTTAAGATTAACCCTTGAGACGGACGGACGCGAGAGACGCGGGCCGTCCGACGGAGGAAGGGGAGCCGAGTGGAAGACAGGAGACACCCCACACCGCAAGCGCAGGGCAAGACACGAAGAGAGGAGAGGCAGCCGGCCGAGGAGGGAGGCGAGAGGGAAGGAGGAGGCACGGCGCAGAGGCGAGGGGGGGGGCAGGAGAAGCGGCCACAAAGGGACGCCGAAGGCCGCCCGGTGGGCAGCGCGCGCGGAGGCCGCGCCTCAGGAGGGGGGGGGGAGGGGGGGGGAGGGGAAGGGAGGGGACGACGACGACAGGAGAAGAGGGAGGAGGAGGAAGAGGAGGAGGAGGAGGAGGAGGAGGGGGAGGGGGAGGGGGACAAG